ATGCAAGAAGGCTTCAAATCCATGCAATTCCACACAGAGAAAGAAATGTGTCTCTGTGTTTCTCAAATAAATTGAAATAGATACCTGTCCTAAAAATGGCATGGTTGATTGGTAGGTTTTTCACACTGACTGTTTTAAATTGTTTGGCTTTTATAACTGATTGTGAATAGAGATGAGCATGAACTGCTGAATCAGCAATCCATTTCAGTCTGATTTTCAGCCCAACATGTGTTTGGTGCTTCCCAGCCCCACCTCTGGTGGGCGCCCACTCAGAGGCAGCATCTGAAGGAGGTGGGGCAAGGAGTCTGGGGCGCTGAACACTTGTTCAGCCAAAGACCGAGCCAGCATTTGTAAGAACGACATGGTGCTGACACACCTATATAAGGAATTTCAGAATATTAATTTAAATTACAAGAAGTTCCTACTTTTAGCTATACATCATCTTTTGTTTTCCTCTATAAGTGTTAAAGTAAATACTGAAAGGTAACACAAATGGTGTTTTTTAAAAGACCAAATTGAATTTGAAAACTATATACCAGTGGGTCTGTCTTTCATTTATGACAACAGTCTTTAGAATACTGGCAAGTCCTCAGGGCTGGTGTGTTGTTTGCCTTGAGGATGGATTTCCTACACATTATTAACCATTTTTGTGTCAAAAAATAAAATAATGCATCCAATATCAGGCACACAACTGAAAAAGCATTCATTTCAGTGGATAAGGTACATATACCAATATTACACTTATCATAACACCTAGTTCCATCATCTAAGCTACCATAAGTAGTCCAGAGCTATTGGAAGTGAATAATGTTAACTGAAGATAGCTCCTTCAAAGATTTATTTTACTGATCATATTTATATTCCGCCTTTCTTCCAAATGTGGAGGCTCACAGCACTCCATTTTACTGCCACAACCTTGTAAAATATATCTGCCTGGTTTTTACTATTAAGTCTTTCCTTTGCTTCAGTATTACAATGATTTGATTTTCTGACAGTGCTTCTTCTTCTTCTTCTTCTTAGAAAAGCAAAACGGGAAAAGGAGAGCCTGTGGCAGGAGACGATCCAGAGGGAGGAAGAAGAAAGAAGACAGCGTTTACAGGAAGAGCGAATGCAGGAGAAGCTTCATGAGGAAAAACAAAAAGCCGAGGAGGCCCTTGCACAACAGAAGGAGACCCAGCAGCAGAAACTGGCAGAGGAGGATCTTGACAGCGTGAGGAGGAACAAGCAAGCAGAGATTCTAAGAGAAATTGAGCAGCAAATGCAGAAGCAAAAAGATGACGACAAAAGAAGACAGGGGAAGATTGCAAAAGAAGCCGAGGAAAAGCATAAATGGCTTGATGAAGAAAAAAAAAGGAAAGACACTATCAATCTGCAAGTGTCAGATAAACCAATTTCTCAATTAAGCTGGCATGAAAAAAATGTAGATACCCTGAAACAGACAAAAGGGCAAAATCTTAAGTCAGCGTTGAAGAATGAAGGTATTGAATCCATGTCTTGTGAGGATATTGTTTCTTTGTGATTTAAAATGTTGAAAAACGCTGTGAGCTTTTCCCTTCCAGCAGAAATGTTCCTCAAACAGAGTTGTGCTGTTGGATGCTCTTTCCAATGAAAGCGAGGAAGCCACTTTCACTGATTCCCCTGAAACCTCTCATACTGCAAAACCACAGTCACTGTGGAGGTTGTGGTGGGGGTGGGTAATTCTGGAATAGTGAAGAAGGAAAAATAATAGAGTAAAATGGCCTCCCCTTTTTCACCAGTAGCACCTTTTCATTCCTGTCCATGTTCTCTCTTTTGTTCATGGAATCTGGATGGGATCCAAACTGTTACATTTTAGTAGCTTTTTTACATTTTAATTCTATTCAGTTATTTAGCCCATGCGTACGTGTGCACGGCACATACGCGCGCGCGCGCGCACACACACACACCGCACGGCACATACGCGCGCGCACGCACATACACACACACACACACACACACACATACGGAAATGATTTTAAACACCCTTCTATTCCATACATTTTTTCCATTCCTCTTTATTTTTTTTCCTTAATCGGCCTCATATTATTTTTAGACCTTCCTTAACTGATCTGCCTCTTCTGTCAATACTTTATTTTAGACCTTCCTAACTGATCTGCCTCTTCTGTCAATACTTTATGAAAGTACACGACAGACTACCAGTGTCAACAAAATCCTAAATCCATTTGCAAAATGAGATGTCTCAAAATAAGGGAGGGTCTGGCCCTGTATCAGGTTGACCTCTCCTCCCCAAAAACAAAAATCTGTTCATCACATTAACAGAATAATTAACCAAATCTTCTTGACTATTTCATAACACCACCACCAGTTCAACTACACAGTGCTAAGTCATTACTGGGCAGATTCTGCAGGTCCCAGAACGTTTTGTGAGGGTATTGGGTTTTGTAGTACTTATTTCCCAGGACCTGCACGTGTCCCTCTTGCCTGGAGGCTGTTGTTCCTGTGAAGAGGATCCAAGATTGTCTCTTCGGAGGGATAACTGGGACATTCCTTGCTAATTATCTATAATTATGCTAACCCTAACTTTCTATTTTTTCTAAGTAACTATTCTATATTTTATCTCAATATGATTCTTGGGAGCAAGAGTCAGAGTGCCTCAATGGAGTGCCTCAGCCACAAGGGCTTCCTTTGCTATTTTGGTGGTGTCCTACCTGGTAGGGCTGGTGTGCAAGGACCGAAGTACGCAGAGTTTTAAGCTCAAATAAGTGAGTCATTGGAAATCTAGGCTCAGGATCTTGCCCACAGTTCCTCACATGGACTTGCTAGACCACCCCCAATCTAAGGTTCAAGGGGCGGTGGATTATGGGAATTGCCGAGGGCTCCTTCCTCTAGTGGAATGCCTCCTCTCTCAGGAGAGGGGTTCCTGACAAGTTTGTCCTGAAGTTAACCTCGAGGCAAAATCCGGAGCCGGAGTCCCGGAGGCAGTTCATGTCGTTCTGGCAACTCCTGCAACGTCACTGGAACCAGTTGTATTGGCTCTTGCCTTTCCATTGGTCTATTTCAGCGACGTGGAGAGGGGGGATTTTCTGCTTGGGTAACAGCCTATCCTCCATATCATTTTACCCAGGCTTTGTGCTCTGGAGAGGACACTCATACAGAGCACATTACCATAGTCTCTCGAGACTGAAGGATGCCTAAGAGAAGATTTAGCCCAGAAACATAGGGGGATCAAAGGGTGTGTGTGGTGTGTAAGTCTGCCCCTGCATCCTCTCCCCTGTAAATCCTGCAGTCCTTTATGTGTTCAACGTGAATGGATGCTGCAAGCACAGTCAGCTAAACTCACTTAAAGCTTTTTCATGATTAGCCGCCCTTCATGGTCAGCCCACACTCAACTGATTATGGAGAACCTGAAAGCAAGTTCAGCTGAACATTGCTTATGATACCTATATGTCCTTTCATGTAGAATATACAAAGGTATGCAGGATTTTTGGATAGTGGGGCAAGATGAAGAGCAGGTATTATCAGATCACCACAACCCATCAAACGCTGTACTCATTCAGGTTAAGCACGAACAGCGTTTGTATGTTCTGGTGGTTTCTAGGTTATCTGAGAGTATTTCAAATATGGTAGCAGATTGCACTGGGATATTGAGTTGAATCGGTTGATGATTTACCATGCCTTCAGTGATTATTCATGCCTTCCGGCCAATGTTGTGCATATCCTGAAGTAGGTACTGTAGTCGCATATAGCATAGCTAATTGCAAATAGCATAGCTGCCAGGACCAGTAGCCAGTAATGTTTCTTCCTTAACATTCCAGGTCATCCTGTTACTGCCTCTGACTCTATGCAGTCAGTTGGGTTGGTTAATTACAGAGCTTTATATCCATTTGAAGCAAGGAACCATGATGAGATGAGTTTCAATGCTGGAGATATAATTCAGGTAAGAAATAGGAAATGAGCTGATCATTCTTGAAGATGAAATGAAGATATTTATTTTGAGCTAAACAAAATTTCCTCTGTAATGTGCTAGAAATACAAGAAAATAAAGAACTTTTTAAATTGCTTCCATTTATTTTAAATATTACATGTATGTATTTTAATGGGCCCGAGACCGCAAAATAAAGATTGATTGATTGAAGAAAATAAAAAAATAAAATATGTATTTTTAAACTAGTAGGCCAAAATCCTCTCATGGCCCAGCTGAAATGATTTCACTTCCAGCAATAGTTCATCTATTAACTATTGCTTGGAGTATCTGCTTGGTTTTCAGGCTGCGACTGACTTCATCTCATTGCATGTGCTGCACATAACTGAAAGTCAAAGTGGGCACTTCTTTATTTAACAGCAATCTACCACTGCTGGTGATGTTATTCCCACTACACTAATGGAGCTATGCAGGAGGATGCTAACCACAGAAAACTGATAACATAACATTTTATAAACAAACTCGGGGTTCTCTCATTGATGTTGTGTTTTCTTCTTTTCTCCAGGTTTCTGAGAAAACTGAGGGAGAGCCTGGCTGGTTATATGGGAGCTTCCAAGGGCATTTTGGCTGGTTTCCATGCAATTATGTAGAAAAAATACCTGAAAATGAAAAAACATTTTCACCTCCTAAGAAAGCCTTGCTTCCCCCTTCAGTATCTTTGCCAACTGCCTCAGTTCCTGTAGAGTAAGTAACTAGTACCAAATACAATATAAAAGCTATTTAATTTTATCTATTTGGGGAGCTCATTTGTTAGTTGTCAGTATTTCAGTTTAAATCTGTAAAAGTGTTTATACATATATTTTAATGCATTTTATCTATTGGTTAGAATCCAGTACAGTGGTGCCCCGCATAGCGACATTAATCCGTTCCGGATTCATCGTCGCTATGCAAAAACATCGCTAAACAGATCGAAAAACCCCATAGGGATGCATTAAACGTAATTTAATGCGTTCCTATGGGGCCCAAACTCACCGTTCAGCGAAGTTCCTCCATAGTGCCGCCATTTTCGCGCCCGCGGTAAGCGAGGGCAGGGCGCGAAAACACTTGCGGCGGCCATTTTGGGCACTCGGTGGCCATTTTGGAACCGCCACACAGCTGTTGTAAAAACATTGCAATGCGAAGATTGGTAAGCGAAATGCTTACCGATCATCGCAATGCGAGTTTTTGCCTATCTAAACGTCGCAATGCGATCGCTTTTGCGATCGCAAAAGCGACATCGCTATGCGGATTCGTCGTTAAACGGTGCGCTCATTAAGCGAGGCACCACTGTATTTACACCAGTATAAGTACAAAAGCATAACTTAAAACAGCAAATAGACAGTAATTAATGATCCCCCGATGCATAGTCACATGCTAAGTCATGCAACTGCCACAACACTAGAAATTCAGGCAGGTTGTTCAATTAGGAGCTGTTCTCTACTCCATTACTCCATTGCCTTATACACCAGCATAAATAACTCAATCGGATTCTGGCCATTGAGAAATTATGGCTGTGATCCAATGATCCACCTGCATAAAATGGTAATTGTGTTGCTTTGAGTTCAGAAGTTATACTTCTCCTATATACCTTATGCTTAAAAGTCAAGGGTTTGGGTTTCCTTAGAGGCATAGAACACTGAATTGTAAACCATACAACTCCATGTGTACAGCAACTTATGTGTATTTTGAAATCTTTGTTGCATTACAGCTAATTGCTGCAACTCTTCTTTTCGTACATGTTTATCTGTTGAACTTGTAGGACTGTTTCACCAAGTAAACCAACAGAAGAAATTGACTACCAGAATATATCTTTCTCAAACTTAAATGTAAACACAGGGCAGAAGAAATCTGCCTTTACTCGTACAGTATCTCCTGGATCTGTTTCTCCCATTCATGGACAGGTATGTTGATAAGAAAGCTGTTTATACTTCCATATTCTTGTATTTTTTACCATTATGTAGAGAACAAAAATATTTAATCTGAAACCCATGACTGAATTTTAGGAAATACAAGGCTTGCATTCTGCAGTTCTGGAATTTGCTAATCATGTGTTTGTTAATTACAGCAGAATGATTTCTATCCTGTTCTTTTTACATATTTTGGGGGCAGATTTCAAAGCAACTGTTCTATTAACAGCTGTACATTTGTCTGCTACATTTACAAATTTGCTGGAATATTTTTCCAGAATATGCTAAAATATGTGTGCTAGAGTGACAATAGAAAAAAAATTACTAGTGGGTATAGTTTTTTCATCCATTAACCTCTACCATAAAAAGCAGCAAGCAGCCAAAATTGCACAAGGGATTGGTACTAATACATTGTTCATTTGATAGGGACAAGTAGTACAAAACTTAAAAGCACAAGCACTTTGTTCCTGGACTGCAAAAAAGGATAACCACTTGAACTTTTCAAAAAATGACATAATTACTGTGCTGGAGCAGCAGGAAAATTGGTGGCTTGGAGAAGTAAATGGAGGAAGAGGATGGTTTCCCAAATCCTATGTCAAGATTTTGCCTGGAAGTGAAAACCAAAGAGTAGAGTAAGTAAGCTTTGGGATTCTTGGACTGAACAAATTTAAAAAAAAAAATTTCATAGTGCATAGATAATGAACACTCAGAACTGAGTTCAAACGAGTATGTACATACCTACATCCAGTTCTCTTGCATCTTCTGGAGGACATTCCAAACCTTTGGAATTAGCCCTTTCTCCATTCAACAGGTAATGGTGGTCTTCATCGGATGGATGCAAAACTATCCTGAACTCTCAGACTGATCCAGGTCTCTTTCATCAAAGAGAGAATTTGATTTTTTTTTCCTTCTGTGATGCCCAGATGGTGCTGTCTTGCACCTGCACAGTGCTTTTATGTTTTAGAATTTTGCTCAGAACCCCAGCACTGGACAGTACTTCTACATGGTTCCTCTTCTTCATTTGGTTCCAAGATGTTCAGGATTGAAACAATAAATGTATGTATATGGGGTGGGATTCTAAGAAGAAACAGGACTTTGAACAAGGGAAGGCAGATGAATAGTATGAGTTACAGATGACTATTTAGAGCCTAGGTTCCCAACCTTTGTTACTCGGATGTTTTTGAACTGCAACTCCCAGAACCCCCAGCCAGCACAGTTGGTGGTGAAGGCTTCTGGGAGTTGCAGTCCACAACTCCTGAGTAAGCCAAGGTTGAGAACCAGTGATTTAGAGTACCACAAGTATGGGTAAGCAACCTCTTCTTTGTCGTCCTTCTTCATGGTCTTGGTGATTATCCCAGCTGGAATATTAGCAAGTTGACTAGTAGTGAAAATATGTCATTACATCATTCTTGACAATACCACTTTCCCGGATGTTGCATCTGCCCTGACTAAGTATCCAGATATAATGACATTTGAACGTAGAAGGTTGAGGTACTTGCTTTATGAATGTGATACATGGACATCACTCCCAGAAAGGTAACACAGCTGGCTGGTCATACCTGTCGTTGAGTGGCCCTTGACAGTTTCTTTGTAAATTGATCGGATAAGGAGAGAGTGACTGTGATCCATTTCACCAGTTTCTAAATGGAGACAGTAATCCCTTTTTAAAGACACACAAAGCAACAAAGGATATTTAAAACTCATTAAATAATTAAGGCCATAGTGTCTATCCCTCAAAGTCTATCAGTGGTTTGCCCAAGTACAGTGGAGATGTAAGAATAATTTTGAACTTAAAATAGCGCAACAGGCTTCTTCAGTGGTGCTTCCAGATGGAACCCAGTGGCACAATTTCCTTGTCCAAGTCAGTTTGTCCCAGGTTTCTTGGCTGTCACCATTAGATTCAGTCACAGAAGTCTCTGAGATTTGTGTATCACTTCTAGCACAGAACCATGCTATCTGGCGTGATATCATCATCCAAGGTGTTTCCCAAGGTCCTGTTTTCCAGTCAAGATTTCCCAAGATTGCTGTGAGAATGCATGTATGTTTGATGATTCAGGAAGTGGTTATGCATATGTGGACCACATCCTCATCCATCCTTTAGAGCACTGGTTCTTAACCTTGGGTTACTCAGGAGTTTTGGACTGCAACTCCCAGAAGCCTTCACCACCAGCTGTCCTGACTGGGGTTTCTGGGAGTTGCAGTTCAAAAGCATCCGAGTAACAAAGGTTAAGAACCACTGCTTTAGAGTGTGGTGGAGGTTCAGCTGCCTGCAAGCCCATTAGTTTGTGATGAACTTTTAGGAAGACCCAAGGTTCTTCTTATCTCATATCTCATATTGCCTAATACTTTGAAACACCTAGGAGTGTCTCTTGATATCTGTTGGTTTCATATATTTGTCACAACAGAAACACAGAAGAACACCTGGTATCTTCTGGGGGGCGGGCATTTTACCTACCTTCTGTATCTGCAGTAGACTAAAACACTCTCCTGTAGGGCATGTGTTGTATACGTGAGGCAGAGGATTCAATAACCCTGGTTTTGATTCCTTCTCATCCAGTTCTGTTCTGTTTACAGTGGTGCCTCGCATAGCGAGGTTAAACATTTTCCCCAGCAAGTTAACATGGATGCAGGTGTTTCTTGGGGTTACAAACTGAGGAAATGCTTCTGCTGTTCCAGTCTGATCTTGGAAAGCAAGGTTAATGTCTCCTGTCAAAGGCAGGTTTCTTCCAGTCTGATCTTGGAAAGCTAGGTTAATGTCTCCTGTCAAAGGCAGGTTTTGCTCCATTAAGCAGATGGAGAGATTATCTCTAGAGTTGTGGAATGTCTTTGAGATGGAGCCAAAATGTACACTTAAAATGTATCTTTAAACTATATATCTTCTTTTCCCCATGAGATTGTCATTGAGGCAATATTGCTTGTTTGCCTAAACAGCTCTTTAAAAACTTGTGACTACAACTATCCATTTTTGCATTAAATCCCCTCCCCCAGTAGATTCTAAATAGATATTTGTGGCTGGGGGATATATTTCGGAATGGGAAGACTGGAAAATGTTGAATATATAGATGTATGCTTATCTGTATCCAACCCTCAGTTATTGGTGGCCTTTTGAAATGCCTTCTGTTATTTTAAAACTTGCATGGTATCGGTAGGCAATGCTTATGAATTCCAGATGAACTTGGATACCTCAGCCAAAGATCGTTTTGTAAATGACAACAGATGAATGTTAGCAGCCTATTAGATGTATACTTGAAAAGTGATTCTGGTATCATAGAACCAAAAAGCTGGTTACTTTTAAACCATCTACTCCAAGAACTGCTGGACAGCTCAGTGGTTTGGGTCTCTGACCGAGAAGCCAGAGGTTGGGAGTTCAATTCCCTGCTTGTGCCTCCTTGACAGGGGCTGGCTTTGATGATCCATTGGGTCCCTTCCAGCTCTGCCATTTTAAGGTTGTGTTGGCAACCTTTGCCTCAGTGCAGGTTCTGTAATGTAATACAGCTACAGAACACATAGCAGGTGGCTCTCCAGCTTCTACTTAAATAAATCCTTGAAAAGAAAAATATGCCCTCTGCTGGTGCAGTCTCTTGCACTCTCAAGCAGCTGATGCCATTAAAATAAATTGCTGCAGTGGGATAAAAGCCATCAGAAATCCCTAAATATATTTTCTATTTGGATTTCATGGTAAATCATAGTTTATTGTGAGAACAACTTTTAAGTTCCCCACAGGTTTTCCCTTCTCACACATGAACAATAAGGAGTACTTTATATTACTTTCACTTCTGTTTTCTGTTAACCCTAAATTGTGGTGTTCCAACAAATTGTGGCCAATTTTCACTATGATTTGTTTGAAATTGAGAGCTCCAAACCATAGGTTATAAAGCTAGTTTCTCTCAGCAAACCATAATTAAGTTTAACATAGCTTAATATTTGAAAAAATTGCTAAAAGGAAAGTGGAAGCTACTCATCTTCTCTTCATATGTAAACCATATTGCGACATCAGAACACAGCCATACTTTCATTGAGTTTTCAGGTTCTTGTAAATTTTAGCCATTTATTACTGAATAATAAATGCTATATATTGTACTGGCCGAAATAACTTTACTTCTTTCTTCTGTCTGCAGACCAGAAGCTGTTTATGCAGCTATAAACAAAAAACTTACATCTTGCTCATTAAGAGAAGGTAATAATTGCATTTAAACTTTTGCATTTTTGTGTGCACATGGGCAAAGCCTTACACTAGAGTATGGCAGAATTTTTCAGACATCTACATCATAATTGTAGTATAACATCATGAAATTATAAGAATCTAGTAAATTAAAAAATCTAGCAAATAAGACTACTAGGAGTTTAGAGGAGGTGTTCTGTATTATACCTGAGTACAATTTCTTTAATACAATAATTTGATTGTGAATTATTTGAAGTATATGGCTTGGCCATAGGTAGAAGCCATGTGCAGTCATAAATGAAGTGAGAGAATGAAAGGTGTTCAATAAAAGGAATAATCTTAACCTGTGAACAGAGGGAATGGGGTAGCTTGCCCCTCTCGTTCCCAGCTATCCTAGCAGAGAGCTAAATCTCGAGAAGGAATAGTCTGTGCTATTTCTTCATGTAGTCAGAAATCCTGAAAAACCAGTGTTCCTGATTATGTAGAGGTTCTCATCACGTATAGACTGAGCTCTTCAGATATAGCTCTCCACATGGCAATACTAGGATGGAGAGAGTAGAGTTACACTGTGACTAATACACATTGCTGAGATTTGATTCAAAGCCTGATTACACAGGAATTGTGAATTGATTCAGGAACTCAGTTTTTATACTCTATGCAATGTGATTTGTATTTCAGCCCACAGCCCCCCTTCCTTCCACTGGTCCTACTTCTGCTGATCCTTTTATGGATCGCTTGGTCAAGTGGCAGTGTTCCAAATGTCTTTTTAACCTGTGCAGAAATACCACATGAAAGTCTTTTATTTCATCTGGGTTGTCTCCATCTTGTTTGTAATTCTTTTTTTTAAAAAGTCCAGAGATTATTGAGTGCTAAACCAGTACAGTGGTGCCTCGATTTACGAACGTCCCAACATATGACGTCCAGCCACAAATTTTTGCTTCTACTGTACTTGTGACTGGAGCTTCGAGTTACAAAAAGAAAAACACAGTGGAAAAAGGCGGGGAATTCAGATTGCTAACCGTTGGTGGCAAAGAGGCTGTAGCTCTTTCACCCCAGCAGTTAGTGATTGTGTGCTCGGAGGAGGCTTCGGATTGCCTTGTAAGGTGCTGCTTTCTACTTTTTAAAAAATTGTTCTGGGTGGGTTTTGCAGCATGGTTTTGGGCTGGGTAGTGGGATTATGTTTCTATGCTGTGATGGGTCTTGCAGGGTTTGTTTGTATTTTGGATTTTTTTCCCCATTTCTGATGGGTCTTGCAAGGTTTGTTTGTTTTTCCCATTTCCGATAGGTCTTGCACTCTGTTTCCTTTATGGTTTTTCTTTTTTGCATTTCCGATGGGTCTTGCACTCTCTGTTTGCTTTTGGGGGGTTGTTTGTTTGCATTTCTGATGGGTCTTGCACTCTCTGTTTGCTTTTTGGTTTTCTTTTTTTGCATTTCCGATGGGTCTTGCAAGGTTTATTTGCTTTTTAGTGGTTTTTTTGTGCATTTCTGATGGGTCTTGCAGTGTTTGTTTGCTTTTTGTTTTTTTTCCCCTCCAGCCGGAATGGATTAGTTGCGTTTCCGATGGGTTTTGCTGTTGTTTTTTGGTGATTTTTTTTTTCAGCCGGAATGGATTAATTGCATTTCAATGCATACCTATGGGAAATGGTGCTTCGGCTTACGACCATTTCGAGTTACGACCGGAGTTCTGGAACCAATTAAGTTCATAATTCGAGGCACCAATGTATATCAATCAGTACTGGTTGTAAGGTGGTCTAGTGCTAATCTCATATATGTAAAAAAAAATGGAAGGATGATCATTTATTTATTTATTTATTGGATTTCTGTCCCACCCATCTAGACCAAAGGTTTACTCATTGGGAAAGAACACAGGGATGGGTGTTCCCACAGTCCTGAACATCACACCTGTACTGCCAACATCACCAAAAAAACCATCCAAAGACATGCTCCCTGTATTTACAAGAATAAATCAACTGATCGCACATGAAAAAAGTCTGTTTAAATCATTCCAGCTTGAAAAAAATAGAAACACCAGCAGAAGAGAAAGAAAGCTATGTTGTGCGAAAAAACAGCTGGACTAATTTGAATCAAGGTTTGCATCATGTGTTCAGGAAAAAAAACCCTCAAATCCAGCATTGCTATAACCATAGCAAATCCCACAGTATTTAATCATGTTGTCACAGCCTTAGCCTGCTCCCTCTTCCTGCTGGTTAAGATTAACCCTGAATAGGGTTAAAGAGTTGCCCTAAACTATAACCAGTGGACCCTTGTTTTTAGCTTCTAAACCTTCAGAAGAGTTTACTTTATTGCTTGACAATTTTCTGCAGAGCTTGAATGGAGAATAAACATGCTTTAGAAAAAGTGATGGCAGTTGTGCAGATCGTGAGACATAAACCATATGTGGTATCTTATTTATCTTTCTGAACACTGTAGAAAGTACACTAAAACCTATAAAATAGTGCTTCTCAGGTGTGCATGCATTATTTATGCTTATAGAATCATAGATTTGGAAGGGGCCTATAAAGCCATCAAATCCAATCCCTTGCTCAATGCAGGAATATAAGTCAAAGTATATCAGACAGGTGGTTGTCTGATTTTTCTCTTGAATGCCTCCAGTGTTAGAACACTGACTACCTCCTGAGGTAATTGGTTCCATTGTCATACTGCTCTAACTGGAGGTTTTCCTGATATTCAACAAAAACCTGTCTTTTTATAACCTGAACCCTTTATTACATGCCCTGCACTCTTGGATGATTGATGCTGCACGTCCTCTCTATGACAATCCTTTAAGTATTTTAAAAGTGCTATTGTATCTTCCCCTAAGTCTTCTTTTCTGATGGCTAAACATGTCCAGTTTTTTCAGTCTTTCTTGGTTTGGTTTCCAATCCTCTGATCATGCTTGTTGCTCTGCTTGTTTCAATTTGTTGGCATCCTTAAAGTGTAGTATCCAAAACTGTACATAGTACTCAAGATGAGGCCTAACCAGTGCTGAATAGAGAAAGACAAGTACTGTATAAATAATTCAAAAAGGTAGTTGTATGGTTCCAAAACAATGCAAAAGCAATAAGCCATGCATATTCAGATAATTAAGTGAGCTCTATGAAAGATTGCTCCATAAAATAAGAGAAGCTAATTCCACCTAAAAACTATTTTCCAGCTAAGTAATCATAATTGAGCTTCTTATCCTCTTGAGTCTATTCCTAATTCATCATCTTCAGACAGACAGATCGATAGCTACCTCCTAACAGCCACTAACTAGCCTCTTGCTAGACCTTAAATCTATGTTGAATCAAGTTCAAGTCCTTTGTCTAGTAACTTCAGCCTCAAAATGTAATTTCTCTCAGTCCCACCTTTCAGTTCTCATGAGAATCTCTGCTGATGAGCAATTAAGAATGGAATGTGATGTCTAAGCTCAGTGTGGTTCGTTCTTGGTGCAGCCTGGAACAGAGCAAAATCAATCTTCGTTCTCATGCAGATAAGCACCAGAGCTAGAGCAGCCTAGAGAAGTACAACATAACCCATCCGATGTCCTCACAGTCTGTAGTTCCCAGGTTCCTCCTTTTTGCACTTTTTGAAGATAGGAGCAGTGTTAGTCCTCCTCCAATCTTCTGGCACTTCATCCATCCTTCATGATTTCAAGAAAATAATAAACACTAGTTCTGAGAGTTCTTCATCTTGGATTTGGTTCTTTCAGCCCTGGGGATTTGAGCTCATTCCAAGCTATAAGGCATATTTCATTTCTGGAATATTTCAGTCCCAAGCAGTAGGAAGTCTGCTCCCCCAACTATTCTTCACTTCTTCTTTTTGTAGGGTGTGGGCTCTGCTTGGCTGAGCTTCAGCCTCTCTCATGTCCTCCCATGGGGTCTCCTGTATGTCTCCCTCTGCAGGCTGTCTGCCAGGGTCCTCTTCAAGAATCTGAAAGTGGTTTTGCCATTCCACTGGTGAAGAGTGTCATCTTCCTGTGACCCTTTCACATGTTGCTTTCTCTGCTATGTTTGTTCTGTCCTTGGCATTCTCCTCCTCTGCTTTGCTTTGTCTTGCTGTTCTGCCACCTCCAGTACCTCCTTTGGCTGCTGCTGCTCAAGGGTTCTACCTATGTGATCATCTTTGCTTCTATCTCAGTTTTTCTGAGAAGATATGCAGATGTTGCCTTCTGAGCATTTGACAAAAATGCACCTTGACAAAAATGCAGGTGGTTATAAATTAGCGGCTGTTTGGTGCTATAATTGTAAAAGGAATATTTCCATGTACAGTTAGGATATGTCATAATTATGATTTATCTGTGAATCTTTGCTCCATATATTTAAAAAACTTGTATTCTCTCTTTTTCTCTCTCTCTTATTCCTAGTGAAATGATGACTGGTGTAGTCCTTAATAATAAACAGCTTAAATAGATAACTGAAATTCTTTTTGCTTTTTTCAGAATATATAGCACTGTATTCTTATGCAAGTTCTGAACCCGGTGATTTAACTTTCACTGAAGGCGAAGAAATTCTAGTTATTCAGAAAGATGGGGAATGGTGGACTGGAAGTATTGGCGATAGAACTGGAATTTTTCCTTCAAACTATGTCAGACCAAAGGATCACGATGTACGTCTTGTTGCAGTTTTTGTGAGGGAGGGAATGGTGAGATAAGTGTGGCATCCCAAAATAAAAACTGAGACCCTGATACAGAGATGCTTACGTGCCATATCAAGCTTTTCTCCTGTACCCTGGCTTATCAGCTGCACATGTAGAACGGATCACAGGCCACAGCAGTAGTAAATTCACAAGGATTTGAAAATCATGAGAGAGGAGACCTTTAAGAACTGGGCACAAGGCTAAAATGTAGTTTCCTGTACCTAGACCAGTGGGTCAGGAAAAACAGTTAAAAGATTTTAAAAAAATGATTCCACTTTTAAAGAGTGTTTCAGCCATCTTTAGTTAAGACAGTTTAGTTGCTATGGCACTGCTACAAAATGAACTGTGTTTTCTTTTGTTGCAGAGTTCTACTGCTAGCAAAACAGGAACATATAATAAAAAACCTGGTGAGTACAGCCAATATTATAGTTTTCACAGAGGTAGTCCTGTTAGTCTGTTTCAACCTAATCAGTATATGACAAAGGAGATGGTGTTCATCAAAGTTTGACTGAAACAAATCTGGGGATTGAAAGTTTAAGCAAGTGGGGAATGTTCCACGAAACGTCACAGTAAAATCCAGCAGTTAGTCTTTAAGGTGCCACAACATTTTTCTCTTCTTTTTGTTTTTGGCCTGATATGAAATAAATCTGTTAGTTTTAAAGATGCCTTAATACTTTTCTTCTTTTGGTTTTGTTTTGTTTTACCTATTGCCAATTTTAGGGTATTATTATTGGTGATATAGATTTTTTACTGATGCATTTTCTTTCAGAAATTGCTCAAGTTACCACGGCCTATACTGCATCAGGAACAGAACAACTGAGTCTTGCGCCAGGACAACTGATACTAATTTTAAAGAAGAATGCTAGCGGATGGTGGCAGGGAGAGTTGCAGGTAACAGAAGGAAATTTTTGCCTGCAGGGTAATATATTTAATAAACATTTTTAAACTTTCAAATAAGCAAAATATTGCCTTCCTTTTTAATATATGGTTATCTGCAGATTAAACAAAAATGTCTTTTTAGAAAGAATGCTTTTGTATTTTCACACTGTTTAGAAATTTGGTTTGAGAACAAGTTGCTAGCAATGAAAAGAAATGTATTCCTTTGTTTTAAACCCTCTCTTTTTCAAGGAAACTAGAAAATCAAGAACATAAAGTCACTTATCTATATTTCTTCCTTCTAAATATACTTACCATACTTATAAGGAAAAGTTACATTCCTTTGAAGTTTTGACAAGCTGAGAAATTCTGTGATAGGGTTTTTCATTGCTTGCCTGTTACTGAATGAAAGTGTAAAACAATTTTTGTAGGCAAGAGGGAAAAAAAGACAAAAAGGATGGTTTCCTGCTACCCATGTGAAACTTCTGGGTCCAGGCAATGAAAAAACTACTCCTGCTGCTATACCAGGTTGGTACCTAAAAGCTTGCTTGCATTTGGCTTAGGTTTGAGGACGAAGTGTATATTTTATGTGAGAGCTCTGGCTGGTTGGTGTGTGCTGTCAAGTTGGAACCGACATATAGCAATCCTAACAGAGATATTTAAGAGATGGCTTTACCAGCTCCACTCCTCCAGTGAGTTTCCGTGGCTGAGCAGGGAATTGCTCAGCCATTATCTCCAGATTCCTAGTCATCACTTTATCCACTACACCATACTGGGAACACCTGGCAGCTCTAATACTTGCTTTTTAAAAGTAAGCAGAATTACAATTTCATGGTGAGGGTAATTGGCAGAGGACAGTTGTATTGTTGCTCATCTGTTTTGCACCAGCTGAAACTTCCAAACATCTAAAGCAACACTTTCCCGACTCCCGTTCTGTAAACAGTCAGCCTCTTGTAATGGATGGAAGGAGTGGAAATTGCTGCTCTGTGTGTGTGTGTGTGATCTTACATTTATTTTTTTTAAACTGAAGAACATTACATTTTCCATCTCTGACAAGAGATATCAGAGTCTCAGCCTGCATTCTGAAGTAAGACAGGCAGCAGCAAAGGAGAGGCCCTTGGCACCCTGGTAAGAAAGTGCCATCCCAGACACTTGCCCAGCCCCTTTGTTACATTTTTTTCAGCACAACATAAAGACTTCTTTATTCCCCCAAGCTTTACGTATACTTCCTTAGTTTTTTTTTAACTGTGCCTTTTTAGATACAGTGGGGTCTCGACTTACGAATGGCTCGACATACGAACGTTTCGACTTACGAACCGCTCTCATAGGAATATACGGAGTCAACTTGCGAACATAGATTTGAGTTATGAACTCTTTTTTTCCTTTTTTTTAAAGCTAAGTCATCTTAAGTTAAAAGGAAAAAAGAAAAATGTCCCCCTCTAGTGGCAGAAGGCGGAATAGCAGCTTCCCATTAGTTTCTATGGATGAAAAGAGCAGATACAGATTAAATGGTTTTCAATGCATTCCTATGGGAAATCAAGATTCGACTTACGAACTTTTCGACCTGAGAACTGCCTTCCAATACGGATTAAGTTCGTAAGTCGAGACCCCACTGTACTGCAGTGCTGCTGGTTTTCACTTTGGTTTTTCTCCTGTCACAGATTTGTTTGTTCTGTAATATCAACAATTTTAATCTCTCTTAAAATGAGAAAATAAAACAAATGAATATTCTTTGGGCATTTATGTGTGATGTCCATATGATACTGTACAAACGGTGAAGGAACATGTCCCAGTACTGTGAGAAGGGGCTAGCTTTACAGTCTCGAAAACAGACATGGGAGAAGGAGCAGAAAGACAGGGAAAAGAGGAATAGACAGGGAAAGAATAGATGGTTATATGAGTCTGCTTATATGAGCTTAGACTCATTTGTACCTTGGGATTGGAAAGTAGGAGATTGTACCAAATGCTGGATGGGTTTTGAAGGAGGATTTGAAGGAGGGGAGAGAAGTGACTTTGCAGAGGCAAGGGTAGAGAGTCCTTGGAGAGAGCAAGATACCCTGGCATGGCTGAGGCAGGTGATGCCCAGAGGGACAGATGTCGCACAGGAACGCATTTAGCCTTTTTATGGCAAGCTGAGACATGAGTTGGGCCATATTTGTGTATTCTTGAAATTTCCATCTTGCTATTTGTGTTGTTATTTTCAAGTGACCAACTTGAGTATTCCATATGCTCTTGAAGTCACTGAGCATAATTTATTATTTCTTTATTTATTAGATTTCTATCCTGCCCATCTAGACCAAAGGTCTACTCTGGGCAGTTTACAAATTTAAAAACAATAAAAACCGATAAGCATATGTTATAAATCCAAGATGGGAAAAGTATAAGAAATTAAGATACGACAGAGGGAAAGCCTGCCGAAATAGCCAGGTTTTAAGTTTGTTCCTGAAAACACCCAGAGAGGGAGCCAGGTGGATCTCCACTGGCAAGTTGTTCCAAAGGCGAGGGACCACTCCCGAGAAGGCCCAGTTCCTTGTTCTTTCCTTTCAGACCTCTCTCGGCATTAGTCCCCTCAGCTGCCCAGCCTGGCTGGAACGAGTGACTCTGGCAGAACTGGGTGGGAGAAGGTGCTCTGCCAGATATTGAGGTCCTAAATCGTTTAGGGCTTTATATGTAATCATAAGAACTTTGAAATCAACGCAAAAACAAATGGACAGCCAATGCAAGGCGGCCAGAGTGGGGGAGATATGTTGATGTTTTCTCACCTCAGTAAGAAGTCTGGTCACCGCATTCTGCACCATCTGCCTTATAGCTTTGAAACTTTGGCAACAGCCTATAATTACCAATACAGTGGTGCCTCACACAACAATGTTAATTGGTTGCAAAAAAATCAACATTGTGTGAAACATCGTTCTGTGAAACACCATTTCCCATAGGAATGCATTGAAAACCATTTAATCTGTATCTGCTCTTTTCATCCATAGAAACTAATGGGAAGCTGCTATTCCGCCTTCTGCCACTAGAGGGGGACATTTTTTCTTTTTTCCTTTTAACCTAAGATGACTTAGCTTTTTAAAAAAGGAAAAAAAAGAGTTTGTAACTCAACTCTAAGTTCGTAAGTCGAGTCCATATATTCCTATGAGAGTGGTTCGTAAGTCGAAACGTTCGTATGTCGAGCCGTTCGTAAGTCGAGACCCCACTGTACTGCAGTGCTGCTGGTTTTCACTTTGGTTTTTCTCCTGTCACAGATTTGTTTGTTCTGTAATATCAACAATTTTAATCTCTCTTAAAATGAGAAAATAAAACAAATGAATATTCTTTGGGCATTTATGTGTGATGTCCATATGATACTGTACAAACGGTGAAGGAACATGTCCCAGTACTGTGAGAAGGGGCTAGCTTTACAGTCTCGAAAACAGACATGGGAGAAGGAGCAGAAAGACAGGGAAAAGAGGAATAGACAGGGAAAGAATAGATGGTTATATGAGTCTGCTTATATGAGCTTAGACTCATTTGTACCTTGGGATTGGAAAGTAGGAGATTGTACCAAATGCTGGATGGGTTTTGAAGGAGGATTTGAAGGAGGGGAGAGAAGTGCAGAGGCAAGGGTAGAGAGTCCTTGGAGAGAGCAAGATACCCTGGCATGGCTGAGGCAGGTGATGCCCAGAGGGACAGATGTCGCACAGGAACGCATTTAGCCTTTTTATGGCAAGCTGAGACATGAGTTGGGCCATATTTGTGTATTCTTGAAATTTCCATCTTGCTATTTGTGTTGTTATTTTCAAGTGACCAACTTGAGTATTCCATATGCTCCCACCACCAAGCTCTATTTCTTCCAAATGGGCCTGATGAGTGTCTCCTTGAGGTCCTGGAGAGACCCATTAATTGTTGCTGTAACCCATTCAGATGTTGATTAGCCAGGCCGGGCAAGGGTGAAGGGAGGAGGACAAGGCACGACAGCAGTCAAGCACTCTGTCCACCATATCTGACGTCACAGGCTGAAAGTAGTTAAGTCCCATCAGGTGTCATGTTCCCAGGGGATTTCAACAGGAAAAAATCCAATAAGCCAGTCCAGTATCAGAAGTCCAGAAGATGCGAAGCAGATACCAAAATGCCAAAGCCAAAACACAAACTGTAGTCAGAAGTCAGAGTCCAAAGCCAAGGGTCCAGAGAACAAGGTCCAAGATAAGCAGGAGCGCAGATGCAAGCTAGAGTGTTGACTTGTTGCTTCCACTAGCTTCAAAGCCTTTGAGGTGCAGATTATATAGCAAAAACAGTCATCAAACTCCTAGAAGTCTTCCATCCTGTTAAAACTTAGGACTGGTTGACCTGATGTTCCTGTGGGAAGCATTCATGCGATCCTCAGACCTTTGTGTCATGAGTCTTTGCCGAAGCTTACCCCTCACACTGGCTAGTGGGGGGGGGGAGAATCTGGTGATGATTCAGGTGGGGGGGGGAGAGAATCTGGTGATGATTCAGCTGTCTGTGCTTCTAATTGCCCAGCATTTTCCTCACCTGTAATTAACCCCTCAGATTCCAGATTTTCTTTGGCTGAGCTCATGATATCAGGCAAGATGGAGCACTGGATGTCTCTGCTTGATCCACTGTTTTCAAATAGGGAGTGAGATCCTGGCAGATAGCCTCCACTTTTGATTTTTAAAAAGCTGCAAATTGGTCAGGTGTGATGCTAGTGGGAGCCCAGTCACTATGACCAACTCCGGCTAGATCGCAGACTATACAGAAAAGTTCTGCATGCTTTTTGGATGCTTCACTTATTCAGACAGTGAAGTAAGATTGATTAGTAGCCTTCACCTTAGATTGGTAAAGGTTAGTTACAAACGGATCACCATAAGTCCTCCCTGGGGAATGTAGAAAATAATTTATTTTTCATTGACTGTACCAGTGCAGCTGACTTCAGTGTACCTGGGAAGCATCAGGGCTTGGCCACACAGCTTATTTGGAACTGGTTGATACAGGCTAAGTAGAGTAGTTTAAGATGAGGTAGAGATCCAGTATACCATGTGGTATGATCTTTGCATGCATATTGCATACACACCTCAATCATATGAGCAAAGAAACTGAAAAAAAAATCTCCTGCCTTGCCCTCTCCTGTCCCCTCTCACTTCTGGGAGTCTTCTTCATGGCATCTGTGGAATCCGCTTTTAAATCAAAAGGGAGGATTCTTTGAAGACTCATTCCACAATGAGGCTTCAAGGTATGGTTTGGGGGGAGAGGGGAAGACACTGAAATGTTTCTAGGACAGATGACAGACCACGAGCGCTTTGGTCCAGCCCCAATGTGAGGAGTGAAATATTTACGCCAGAACCGAAGATAATGAGTTATGGAATGATTCCAGAGTTAAGTAGTTTTGATCCGTTTACTCTTGTTAATCAAGGCATTGAGGAGAATAAAGTTAAGTTTGTTGAAGAGTTCAAAGTGCCTCCGTCTCTCATTCTCAATTTCTGAAGAACCCAATCACATTTTATATTTTTATATTATTATACTTCATGGGTTGGATCAGGAATCATTGTCTTTTGTATTTATTTTCACTATTGGAAAGCACCAGAGTAATAGCTTGCCACTAGATGATGTGGGAGGGAGGGAAGTATTCCAAAAGGAGTGAACCAGCCTGTCTTCACAGCGGACCAACTGGTGCTCTAAATGCCTGTGTAGTCAGTCACCCTCTCAATTTGTAGAAACCATTGCCTTATTTTTAACATATCCTTTTTCATATGTACAGGAACACTAAAGTTTGGTATTAGAGTGAACAAGACAAGCCTTGTAGCGGAATCTGGAGAGTTTAGTTTATTCTGATCTCCTGCATTTCCCTCTATTCTGCCATTATTTGTGGCTGCTCGTGGAAGTGGTACATAATGATCTAGTAACGTCTGGGCATAAGGGGTCATATGAGAATGACTGCAGTGTTTACCTGCTTCTCAAGGGGGGTGCATGTGTGTGGAACAGATTCTCAGACCGAGATAATCTTGTTCTTCCTTCATTTTAAAAATGTAGACTGAATAATATCTCTCCCAAGAGACTGAGAGTTTAAATAACTATAAAACAATAAATTGGACAATTCTTCTATAGCAGGACCATCTCTTCTTGCAACAAGCACTGCCCTCCCTCCATTACTGAAGTCTGACTGTTTATAATGCTGGAGTTGGGGAAGTGTTGGTTCAGAAGTAGAAATTAAGCATGTTTTAGTACCCCTGGAAATGCCTTCTTTACTTCTAAGCTTGTGAATTTCTTTTTTTGCTAGTGTGCCAAGTGATTGCCATGTATGACTACTTGGCAAACAATGAAGATGAGCTCAGCTTCTCTAAGGGGCAACTCATTAATGTCCTGAACAAAGAAGATGCAGACTGGTGGCAAGGGGAAATCAATGGCATCTCAGGCCTCTTTCCTTCAAATTATGTGAAGATGACTACAGACTCTGATCCAAGTCGGCAGTGTAAGTGCAACTTCCTTAAGGCAATGTTTACTTGAATTGCAAGATTTTAGTGCACCACTGATTTCACCACAATTATTCCCACTGTATTTTAGTTCGTTAGAACGTGGTTCAGTCACTTCATTCAAACTGCTTTAAGTGTTTGCATGTGTGTACATGTTTATATGTGCACACTTGATAAATGAGTTTCTCACTCTGCACAAAGGCACTGACCTCCCTCATGACACAGGGATAGCAGGCATTATGTAGACTGGCTCCTCCCCCAGTTCTTCCTTAGCCCAGGGAAATTTCTCTTCTACTCCTTGTTACTTGTTCTTTTCTGTTTTCAGTCTCTCCTCATCTATTTTCTAAAGAACCCCAGCTTTATTGCCACACTCACCCTCTTCTTTCTTTCTTTCTTTCTTTCTTTCTTTCTTTCTTTCTTTCTTTCTTTCTTTCTTTCTTTCTTTCTTTCTTTCTTTCTTTCTTTCTTTCTTTCCCTCCTTGCTTCATACTTGGCTTCTGTAATCTTACTTTTACCAGTGCTTTTGGAAGTTGTGCCAAGGAGTCTTTGTGATCCCAGTGCCTCACTGCAGTACAGTGACTTCAAGGAAAAAGCCGTGTCTACAGTTTCATAAGAAGAAAGACAGAGACAATGAAGGATGTCTTTCCATTCCTTTTAGTTTCTTGTGTGATTTCCCCCCCAATACAAGTGGATTTCAGTAACTTTAAGCTTGCCTAGTCTCCTTTCTGGTTTCTGTTCAACTCCCAGTTGAGAGCTCAGGGCCAGGGACCTCAGCATAAGAAATCCAGTTTTCAGAACTGCTGACCCACCTTCATCCCAGTAGGTGGGAGATCAACACGTTCCTCTCAGTTCTCATCCAGAAACTGCTGCATAATTCAGAAAACCTCCATAGTGAAAAAAAAGTTATGCCTACATATATTATTTTCAGCTGCTGACGTGAACACGCACATTTCACCAGGGCAGTCGCAACTCCGGTAGCTTTTGCATCGCTCTTTGACATTTTACAGGGTAGCTACCTAACGCACTCCTTCAATCTTTAGAAAACATAACAAATTCTGTCAGTATTTTTCTGTTGATCTGGCTTTCAGCAAAAGCATGTAATACAGCATGTAGTGTCTGCACAATAGCAGTGCAAAAAGCAAAGGATGATGAGAATGATCGGAACTGCTCAGGTTCTCAGGGGAATCCTTTCTTCTGTGCTATTCGTTGAAGAAGCTTCTAGAATCTCTGTCAACTGAATATGTTTGAAAAGTCTTCAATATTAAGACTTTAAAGTAAGGGGGAGTGAAAAACAAATCTGAGAACCTGTCACTGTCAGAATTGGGACTACAACAATAAGTCGGTTTGCAGTAACGTCAGGGCTCACTGACAATTTTAATGAGGTAATAACTGTAATGGCATTTCAGTGTGAAAAGGTGAGGCTGCAGATGTACTCACGACAAGCTGGAATGCTTGCTAACATTTCTTCATCTGTTATCAGTCAGATGAAGGAGAAATCATTCTGGTGCCCATGAAATTTGGTTTTCTGGTATTTGCTAAAGGTTATCTCAGGAACTTTCATGGCAGGATCATTGCAATGCCAGTTGACTACCATGTTTCCCCGAAAATAAGACAATTGACTACCATGTTTCCCGGAAAATAAGACAGGGTCTTAGATTAATTTTTGCTCCAAAAATGCATAAGGGCTTATTTTCAGGAGATGTTTTACTTTTTTTCATGTACAACTATCTATATTTATTCAAATACTGTTCTGATTGCTGCACAATGGTGGAGGGTGGGCTTTTACTTAACTGGGGCTTACTACGAGCATCCTGAAAAATCATGCTAGGGCTTATTTTCAGGTTAGGTCTTATTTTCAGGGAAATCAAGACCTTCAAGATGAAAATCATCTGGATCTCTCTTAGTTAAAACTTTGTATATAAAGGGTGAGCAGTCAGTGCTACCAAATAACAGGTACAAACACAATTCTATAGAAAAAAAAAATCAAGACCTTCAAAAAGGAGATCTATGAGACTACATGGAGGGCTCTTTTTTTAAGATGTTGTAGACAGAAGGCACATTTGCACTGACAACTGATGTCAGTGGTTGCGGCATTTCTCTTATTTCAGTAAACATTTATAAATGCCAAGTGGGTGGTTTATTAAGAGTCTTCCAAGATGCATATGAATCTATTTCTTCCAATCCTCAGTTTGAAATTATTTTTAAGATTCACTTTCATCTTAAAATCTCCATAGAGATTTCTGATCTGGAAATTGAAGAAAGTTCTATAAGCTGAAGCCAAACCATATTTTGTATTTTTTGAGAAGATGCATTTGAACCTTAGAGAAGATTCTTTTTTGCTTTTGCAATCATACCTATACTTGGGACCTTGACACTGGCCACTGCATCTCTTCATAATGAATGTTTCTTAATCTGTCAGGTCCTCAAAACACATCCAACATTTCTTCTGAATATTCTGCTCAGTTTTTGTTGAGTGAAAGAATCCTTCATTAACAAAATACTCAAGCAGGAAAAGTACTGTCAGGGTGTACCACAAAGGCACTAAATCTACTTACTACAGACTTGTCAATTCAGTGGCATTTCATCCTTCTGCCTCAGACAGGAAGATTCCCCAAACTGATATTTATAGGTATACATTAATCAAATGCCTTTTGGTACATGAAAATGTGGCACTTTTAACTGTCCTTAACAAAACAATTCCAATTTACTGTTGGAGATAACATTTTTAAGGACTCAGGATTTACCATTTTCCTGCTTGGAAATCATATCTACATAAGAACAACTATGACAGTTGTCACAAAACAAGTATTGTCTACATTTATTTTCACTGTGAATATGCAGGTTGGTGAATTGGTGATACATCTAAATTGTGTAAAATTAGTACTGGCAAATATTCTCACTGTTGTACTTGTGTTGATTGTTGGTCCTGTTATCCTGAGATAACATGTGACTTGAGAGATCACATCATAGTGGCTCCAAAGAAGAAAAGGCATCTTTCTTTAAGCGCCAACTGTAGCAAATATGCTTCTGTTCTCTTCTCCACTTTCCTTGGTTTTGTCTTGTTCCCACCCAGATAAAGGTGCACATATTTGTCTATGTGAAGGTATCTTCTGTGCTGCTCTAGAGATTATCAAGCAAATGAGAAACATGCTAAAAAGCAGGGAAGAGTTTAAAGCAAAAGCAAAAAGAAATCCCATATTACTGCAAATGCCAATTTTATCTGCCTTTTTTCCCCTCAGTGCACATATGATATGCTTTTATTCCTCCCTCATCAGTGAAGGATAACCAAAGTTAGAGTTAATCCTATTGGTTTATCAGCAGTATGTTCTTTTAAATCTGCTAATTATCTTTTGGAAAGGTTGTCATGTCAACAGGATGCCACAACATGTTCCCCTGCAGCCAGAAGGTGTTGCCTCACGGTGGCAACAGAACCAATTAACTTGAGTAGTGGTGAGTGCTCCAACACTGGAGGCATTCAAGAGAAATTTAGACAACTGCTTTGCAGATATCCTTTGATTTGTATCCCTGCACTGAGAAGTGGGTTAGACTTACAGGCTCCTTCCAACTTGATTATCCTATGATTTTATGATTCAAATTTGATGCTGATGCAAAAGGTTCTTTGGATGGCTAGCTTGATGCATCTTGAATATGAAATTATAGGCCATAGTAATGGATTAATCTCCTTGTGTGACTCATATAATTTTTAAAGCAATACCATAACTGCTGTATTTAAGAATTTAATAAGTCAGGGGACAGTCTTAGAAATTACCTTGATTTTATTTGTTTGCTAAATAGGCTGCAGCCATGTATTAATGAGCCTACCCAGTATTGTGAAAATTGTGAAAATCAGTAGTGGACTATTTGTGCACATAATTTTCTTTATATGACCAAAGCATCTTCAGGACATTTATTTCTAAGAAATGTGTTTTTGTTGTCCTTGCGCATTGTGCATATTGCTGTCAGGAAATTTAGTTATAAACATTCATTCCTAATTTTTTCTGTTTTTCTTTTTCTTTTCTTTTTCTTTTCTTTCTTTCTTTAAGGATCCAATGTTGTTTGTCTTCCAGGGTGAAAGCACCTCAGAGACCCACTATCCAAGTTTGACTAAAACATGAAGGCAGGGTGGACAATGACTAAAACATGGAAGCAGTGTTTCCTCTCTCTGAAACAATTCATTTGCTTCACTTCAGTATTAAATCCACTCAAGGCTTCAAATGTTGCTGCGTACTGTAACATTGCAATTAATTTATGCAAACTGATTAGTGGGTCTTTGTGTGGCTTTCTTCACCGTCCAGTCTGGTTTTCTCAACTCCTTTTATTTCAGAAGAGCCATTAATGATTTGCTTCCTTGTCAAGTTATTTCTTGACGTAGTATGACTTCAGGCACACAAAGACCTACTATTTGAACTGTTTTACATTGATAGTTGTGTTCTTTTCATGCTGCACCATGTGTTCCTTTTGTTATTGATTTTTGCTGGTATCTCGCAATGTACTTCATGTATGATTCTATACACAGTGTGAGTGTTGTTGCGGGGGTAGAGGAGGAAGTAAGGCAAAACCATGTGTCCTTTTAAGACACTTTATTTTGCCATTGTGGATGCTGAGTTTTCAATCTTATAACTCTTTTACTGAACACAAATACAATCTGGTGTATGTGATGGTTCTTTCTATGGATATTGAGAAAATTCTCTCTCCAGATAGTGCAGTATTTTAGTGTTTCTTTAAACTAAATAGTGATGGAGCTTATGTGGACTGGTTTTGTGGGAATCTTTTTTTTGCTCCTATTTATGCCAGGTTGATGTGCATATGGGGGCAAGATCTGAAAGACCTCTAATCCTCACCATGGTCCTGATAACATCATTGGGGTCATAGTAGGATCTAGATGTAGTGGGTTCAGTTCATTACTCCTCAAATGCATCTTGGCCTTCCCATCATTTGCGATACTTCAGATGCCTCTCTAATACAGGGCAGGAAGCTTTAAGGTCTTCTTGTCCTCCCAGTTAAATGTTTTGTCCAGAATTCTGTATAATGACACAGTCCTAAGTAGGTTTAATGAGGTTCAGTTCAATGGGACTTGTTTTTTTTGTAGGTATGCATAGGATCACAGTCTAACAAAAGGGCAGGCAAAGTGCCCTCTCCAAGTAGCATTCAACATTTTCTCCCAGAGTTCCTCATCATTGGTTATGCTGGACCTATAAGGCTGCTGAAAGTTGCAGTCCAAAAAACAACAACAAATAAACACTGTGTCCACCCTGGTCTAACAGCATCAACCTACAGCGTACTATGTACCACTTTGTTCAGTGTTCAGCCTATTTCACTTAATAAATGTTTTAGGATTGCTGTCTACATAAAATGAATGTTACGGTTTTTAATAGGTTTTTATTGAATAATTGATGCCTGCATTACTTTTATCAAGTAATAGTTTTCAGGGAGGATCATTTGTGCAATATGAAATAGTTACGTGCCTATATCAAATTATGAATGGACTTTTACAGTATCTCATTACTACTTTAGTACAATCATTTCTCACAGAATAAAGTGATCAGTATTGGCAGTAGCAAATGTACAAATAGTTTGTATTCAGCTGGAGCTTCCTTATTTCTGCTGATAATTAGGCTTCCAGCTAAGGATGTGGTATTAATTATAGTGTGCTGTAAATACTAGTTGCAGCATTGTGGCCTCTTCTAACAAACTACCATCTATCTTTCATAACTTCCAGCCAAAAGGTGTGTGACAAGCTAACAAATGGGAACAGTAGTCTCAGGGGTAGGAATAATATATTAATCAAGTTCCTGCTAGCTCCCTACATAGCTGGTGGGCTCTATTAGGTTTGGTGTGCAAGCAAATTATTCAGATTTGAATGTAGCTACATAAAAAGGTTTAAACAAAATCTAATTGATTTTCCAGTAACCAGTGAAAGGTTCATTTGTTAGTTTTTGTTTTGTTCAGTTTGATTTGCAACAATCCTAACATATTTTGGTGAAAAGCTGAGAAAATAATCCTTCAGATTAAGAATTCTCCAATGAGTGGGTCACATCTGAGGGTTCAGAGGCCATTTTTTGGTGATCCTGAATCCTTAGTGGGCCATAGATACAAATTCCCTAAGGTGGAAATTAGTCCCCAGAATGCCAAATTGTATTCCCAGAAGCCTCTGAGGCACAAGATTTTCCCCTCTAAATGTAACATCTGCCACATCCCGGAGTATAATTTTGGCTTTTAAAAAAAGCTTTTCTTCAAACATGAGGTGATTTCTGACTGCTTCCTGTTTCTTTTTTTAAGGATATTTTTGGCAAACAACAAAAATAAACAGGCCAAGATGATTACATTTATGGGGCAAATTGCGCCCCCAGAGATCTTTTGGAGATAATGCATGGGATTAAAATAGGGATTGAAGGGTTTGGAAGGTGGCCCAGAAAGTCACCCTTTGAGACCACAAACTGCACTTTACTCGCCCCTACACTAAAGACTGATAGAGGCATAATAAAATATTCTTAATGACCTTATTTCCTCTGAAAATTTAATGAATGCCTCAAGTATCACATTAGTGATACTGAAAAAGCAAAAGCAAAAGAAAACAAAAACAATACAGTAGGATTAGATATCACAAACTGCAGTTTGTAGGCTAATCTTTTGCTTCTGAAACCTTACTGTATACTATTTTTATCTTATAGAAACCAAATTAGTATTGTCAGTTTGAAAATGTTGTAAGAACAAAGAGCACATGTGTGTTAAGTTCTTGCTGCTGTGTAAATCATACTGTTACTTTTGCCTCACTTCTCTGGCTCCACAAATAATTTATTACGTTTTGGTATGGAGAACACATGGGGTCTGAATTGGGTCACAGAATTATCAGACATGAGATAGTTTAATAGTCATTTAGGATGCACATTTTTGAATAACTATATCAGTTATTTTTCAAAAACAGTGTTTGTTGAATTTTAAGGCAAGATTACAGGAACCACTCAATGTCTGAAGCAAGAGATCATAACATATGAGGCAGTAAAGTGCTCTCCCAGTTGTACCTACATAACCAATGAAATATTCTTCATTGAACTGGAGCATACCAGCAACTGCCTGCTTATCACTCATATCAAGACGTTCTGGAAGTTGCAGCTACAGTTTGCTTGATGACACATATTTCTGCCCTTCAAAACAAAGGCCAGCGTTCTATTATATGAGTCCAAGTTTTTGATTCCATAGGTAGCTCTCTGAATTCAGCTTTAAATATGAATGACTTTGTTCTTGCAGGTTTCTTTCAGATGGTTCTGCCTCTTCGTATAACCACAAAAAGGCAATAGTATTGCATTGCACAGTGAAGACAGCATAGCACAACTTTTATTAGCCTCCATTCCAGAAATAGAATTGAACTAATTTTTCAGAAATATTAAATGTGATGCCTTGAAAATTCTGCAAGATTAGAGAATGGGAGTATCTCAACTAATTCTAGGCCAATGTCTTGTTTGTACACAAGTAGAGCATTATGTTCCTCTCTATGTGGTTCATAGAGTCTCCCATTTTGGGAGGGATGATGAGAAAACCTTGACAAAATGACAAATGATTTCTTCTCTTGACAAAGGGAATGTAAAAGTTATAGGCCTAAATTGTCCATCTCAACTAGAAGAGACCCATTCAATTAGCTGCTCAATAAAAAGTCAACAGATCCCATGGGTCTCCTCATGCTACGACTAGCAAATGAACTTTAGGCCGTAGAATTCTCAATTTCTATGAAACATGAATGAATGACCGCATTGCACCCCAAAATTGCAATTTGCTAGTTGCTTGCAACACAATATTTACCAAACTATATTCCTGTGGCTTGAATTACTTTTTTACTCCATCTGAATATAAATTGTTTCAGTCCATCTGTTACATGAATGCTGACAGACAACTAATTGTGGTTTTGGGGCTGCTACAGCATAATGCTGCTTTAATGTAATTATAGTTAAATTCTTTATAACTTAAAGTGTTGTATGCTGCCTTAATTTTTTTTTTCTTTTGAGGCTTTCTGTTATAAAAGTATTTTATAATCAGTATTTTGCCATGGAAACACAGCAAATGCTGTGCATGAAATAGCTATCTTTGTTTTTGAAAACTGGGAATAACTATGCAAATATATTTTATTAAAGGGACTCAGAAAAAATATACCTGTGTGTGATTTCTTTTCCCATCATAATCATCCTAATTAAATCTGTGTTCAAATCAGATCATGTAAACAAATTTATGGAAGTTGGTTTGAGTGACTTGTCTACTTCCGAGGACACATTTTTCATGGGTCCTTGAAGCAGAGTACACCCACTTTCTTCTGTTTGAAGGGGGCTTGTAAGATAGGTCCACAAATTATGGAACTGAGCAGACTCTGCCAGGGATTTGAGCTGAAAAGCAAGAGCAGAATTGAACTGGTGTAGTGTCCTGGCTACTTCACCCTAATCCTTTCTTCAGTGCAGTCACATGCCATAGCTTAGAACTATGACCATCTCAAAATAATCTCAGAAGATTTTGTGCTGGTGGTTCAGATGTGCTATTATCTCCTCACAGTTACTCTTTGTCTTTTCCTCTTTAAAACTGGTATGGGGAACATTAGCAGGAGTAGAGTGTCCATTTTGCCATCATATGGGTCCCATCTCATCTTCATTCTTCCATCCATGGCAAATTGTTCTACAAAAGTTCAGTGTCAAGCTGGTAAAAGACCTCAAGAACAAGCAAAAATGCCTCTCTTAAAGCACAATAGACTTGGGGATGTGAAAACTCTTGGAGCCGCATTGCCTCATAATACAGCAAAAATGAGTGCATTGTTTTTGAAAATGTAATTGCTTTCATTAAACAGCAAAAAAAAAAAACATCCTCGAAAATTTATCCAGGAGTTTAACAAATATTGTAGAGTAATGGGGAGATGGGGAGACAGGACAGGGAGTGCCCCCTCTGTAGTGACAGGTCACTGTATCTGTCATTTTGTCAGAAGACTATTGCACGTGGTCTTACCATCTCAGTGACATGCTCTTCTATCCTGCTGCCTTAGCCAGTAGGATTCTAGCCATCTTCCTTGATGCATATTTATTTGGCCTCCTTTCACTAACTGGCTGAGAAAGCATCCCTCAACCGATTGTACTACCACTGCATCTGTATGCCACTGTTGGGTATCAGTAACATCACACATTATTTATCAGATGGTAGTTTCTAACTTCAACAGAGGTCACCACTTCTATTTTTACACCATAACTGGTTCAATAAAATATAATGTCAGGTATGCAGGTCAGCCTGCTTCATGTAGCTTCAATCCATAAGAAACAAGTGGAACTTGTTATATCTCCCCAAATAATACTGATGTTACGATGTTATGTAGATAGAGTTGTACAGTCAAAGTTGGAGAAGAGATGGGACCAATGTTCCCTCTAATCTTCCAGAGAACGGGTTGGGGACCCTGCCCAATGTGCATGGAGTTCCAGCCATGATCAGAAGCAAATGGGTGGCAACATTGGCTCAGTTGTGCAGCCCTAATGCAGCACTGCATGGCCACACGGTTTAGAGGAATGTTCGATGAGACAATTCAATGTGAGAACAAGTTTATATTTAATCCAGTTTTAAAGGCACATTGCAAGAACACTAGTGTCTTTTTTCAGTATGGTAGCATCTAGTTGTCATCATTTGCAAATAATACCTGCAAACTTTATCTACTAGAATTAACAATTATAGTTGATCCCACCTACCCCTAGGAAAGTCACTGAGAGACATGGACTTAAATCTGTACTTGGGTTGAAAGCCACAGATGGGGAATCAAGATTGTTGTAGGGTTGGAAGGGACCTTGGAGGTCTTCTAGTCCAACCCCCTGCCCAAGGCACGAGACCTCATACCATCCCGGACAGATGGCTGTCCAATCTTTTCTTGAAAACCTCTAGTGATGGGGCACCCAGAACATCGGGAGGCAAGCTGTTGCACTGCTTAATGGTTCTCACCATCAGGATATTCTTCCTTATTTCCAGGTTGGATCTTCCTCTGACGAGTTTCCACCCATTGCTTCTTTTCCTACCCTCAGGTGCAATGGAGAATAAATTGATGCTCTCTTCTCTGTGGCAACCCCTCGGATATTGAAAAACTGCTATAATGTCTCCCCTCAGTCTTCGTTAAGTTAAACACCTAGTTCTTTTAGTCGTTCTTCATAGGATTTAGCCCCCAGTCCCCTTATCATCTTTGTTGCTCTTCTCTGCACCCCTTCCAGGGCCTTAGCGTCTTTTTTGTATTGTGGTGAACAGAACTGGACACAACCCTCCAAGTGCGGCCTCACCAGCGTGGCATAGAGTGGTACTATCACTTCCCATGACCTTGAGGCTATCCCCCTGTGGATGCAGCCTAGGACTGTGTTGGCTTTCTTGGCAGCTGCAGGACACTGCTGACTCATCCTTAGGTGGTGGCCCACCAGGACACCTAAATCCCTCTCACACATACTACTGTCAAGCCAGTACCACCTATCCTGTACCTGTGCATCTGGTTTCTTCTGCCTAAGTGCAGGACCACACTTACCTGCACGTAGATGTGGTTCCATTGTTGACCACACTTTGAGGTGGTTGGTCCGTCAGCTGCAAATCAATCTGGTAGTTGTGCTGTCTATCCCACTTTGTTCTATCTTACACAGAAGTAGGTTGTGGTCAACCTTATCAAATGCCTTACTGAAATCTAAGTATACTATACCCACTGCATTTCCGTGGTCCACTCATTTAGTTGCTTTATCAAAGAAGGCAATAAGATTTGTTTGGCATGACCTGTTCTTAACAAACCCATGCTGGCTTCTAGTAATCACCTTCTAGGTGATCACAAATCTGCTGCTTGATTATTTTTCCAAGATTTTCCCAGGTATTGATGTCAAGCTGATTGGTCTGTAGTTTCCTGGATCCACTTTTTTCCCTTTTTGATGAAGATTGGAACTACATCAGCTCTTTTCCATTCCTATGGCAGCTTGGCCGTGCTCCAGGACCTCTCAAAGATTTCATTCAGTGGTTCTGAGATCACATCTGCCGGTTCTTTTAGTACCCTGCGATGTAAACCATCCAGTCCAGGAGGCGTGAACTCATTCAAAGCACATAAGTGTTATTTTGCACTTCCTTATCTATTATGACCTGTTTCTCTCTCCTGTCACCCACAGTGCTGCTTTTGACAGGGTGGACCAATTTTTCCTTTTTCGTAAATAGAGATGCAAAAAAAAAAAGCAGTTCCGCTTTCTCCCTGTTGCGTGTCATCTTCAACCGCTAGTGGACCAACCATTTCCTTGACTTTCCTCTTGCTCTTTACATGCTGAAAAAACTTTTTTTGCCATTTGTTACAAGTCTTAGCTCATTATTCTGAGCTCTAGCCATCCTGACTCCATCTTTGCAGGTTCGAGCTATTTGCTGGTATTCTGTTCTAGTTATGAGTCCCTTCTTCAGTTTTTTATACTTTTTGTCCCTTAGCTTGGCAGAGAGCTCTGAGTGCATCCACACCGGGGTATTGTTTTGGTTTGTTATCTTGCCTTTCAGGGTTTCCCAAGCATCCTGAACTGTTTTTCCCTTTAGGATTTCCATCCATGGAATCCTTCCTATTACATCTCTTCGTTTGTGAAAGTCAGCTCTCTTAAAATCTAGAACAGTGGTTCTTAACCTTTGTTACTCGGATGTTTTTGAACTGCAACTCCCAGAAACCCCAGCCAGCACAGTTGGTGGTGAAGGCTTCTGGGAGTTGCAGCCCAAAACTCCTGAGTAACCCAAGGTTAAGAACCAGTGATCTAGAACATTAGTCTCATTTGGTACAGTTATCCTTGCTTGCATGATGGTGAATTCTAATATGACATGGTCGCTTTCTCCTAAAGTTCCTACATTTTCCACTCATTCAACTGTTTCCTCCCTATTAGTAAATATTAAGTCCAGTATGACTGACCCTCTAGTTCCCTCCTCCACCTTTTTGGATGATAAAGTTGTCATCTCTCACTTGCTGCATAGTTGGTTTCCCAGTTGATATCTGGGTAAAGTCCCCCATTACTACAGTGGTGCGTTTCCTACACATCTCAGCTAATTGATTTGCAAAATGGTCATCTATTTCCTCTGCTTAAAAACATAGGTTTTATAAACTTCTCCCAGAAAACCCCACTCCCCATAGTGCTGAGAGTGTTCTGTCTCATTTCGGGCCCTTTTGACAGAAGTGGGCAAGCTTTTGAAGCTATTCTGTAACTGGTTGCTTTCTCGCACATGCAGTTTGAGTGCATATGATCCTTCTAGGCATCTCAAGAGCCAGCTTAATTAATAATGGAACAAATATTTAGCCACTCAGTTCAGTCTTCATTTGCTGCCTTGCCCTGTCAGTATAGAAGAGATGGGAAACCTTAAAAATTAGCCAGGATATCCTGGAGTTCCTGCCTCAAAACTAACATTGCCCATCTATCTCTATTCAAGGACCAAGCCAAAGTGGACTGGCCCCAAACTGGTCCCAATGAGAGCTGTACCTCTTATAAAGCACCAAATCAGGGTTCAAATCAAATATTGTGGTTAGTGCTAATAGATTCCCCCTGCAAATGTATATAAATATATTTAAATCAGCCAATAAGCAAGATTTTCCATGTGCAATTGCCTATCAGCTTTGTAGATCAGTTTCAGAGTGCTGAAGTTCTATCTTACTGTAAGATTTCTGAAAATGAGACAATGGTAAGTTTAGGTTAGAGATCAATAGTTATCAGTGTTCCTAAAGCTGTTTTCAGTCCTGTTTATCATGGTTTTCAATATTTCAGAAATTTTAGGTCAATGACAGATTAGCAAAAAATAAAAATAAAAAAAATCACAATTTCAGATGAAAGTCATTGCTATAATCCAGTATCAAACTAGTGATTATCTGTAGTGCTGCTGCAAGATAATGCAACCAAAGTTTTCAGTGGGCTTTAGATTTGAAACATAGTTGTAGCTATAAAGCACAGTTTTCGTATTGCTGAGATTCTGCTTACATTACTACTTTCCCCTTTCCCAGCATTTATTTAAAGGTGGCAGTTTTTCCACCTAATAGTTCCACTTCCTCATTTCCCCCAGGCAGTTGTCTCATGACCTTTATAGCATAAACTGGCAGAAGAAATCCTATGTCATTTTGCCAGGATGCCAATTTGCCATGAAGAGGGTATTTTGTAGTGTGACAG